AGTGAGCGCTGCTGTTGGCAGGGTAGGAGCTGATAACATCTCCTGTCAGCATGAAGAACCATCACAGTGACATCATCCATCTCTGAGCTGCAGCTCCCTTCCCTTCCCACAGCCTGTGTAGCCTGAGATGCAGGCAGTAGCAAGCTGCTGCTTTTAGGGTGAAGCACAGAGCAGTTATTCACTGTGCTACAGCAGCATAGGCTGCTAGGGAATAAGACCATGCCAAATTAATTGAATTTACTTCAGAGATGAGTTTGGTCCGCTAATTCCATATTGACTTAGGGCTTTAATTGGTGTTGAAGCTCAATGAGAAGTCAGGAGTACAGCTGGAGCAGGGCAGGGGCACGGCTGTGCACCAGGTGGAAGAACATAAGCAGTTCCCTTGACCTGGGTCCGTATCCAGCATCAGCAGAGCGAAATTGAATCTCAGTTAAAGCAGATCATTGGCTGTCCCTTGTGGGGAAAGCTGGCTGCAGTGAATGAACCCTGCACAGCCTGGTGGGTGTGAGGGTTGGCTCACTGAGCTCATGCTCCCCCAGAGCTGCAGCACCTCTTCCTTATTCCATTTCCAGTTTCTTTCCACTGCACAGTGACTCATGAGTAATCTCCTGTTAGAGCCATCCTATACCTAGTGCTGTTACTAGGCGTACTGGTTGCTGTAAACACATAGCAAGCTTTTTTTTTTTTTTTAATCCATTCATTTTTGCCATAATTAATAGGGCTTGAGAGGTGCCATTCAAGCAGAGCTTTCAGTGTGACTTTGGTTGTTGGGTGGGACAGCAGCTGAGTAGAGTTGGGGTTTAGTGCCAGAGACAGTGAACTGGAATTGCTGAGTGTAAGAACTGCAGCTTTCTCGGTGTAATGGGGCTCCCTTGAGTTTCCACGCATTCTTTTTGGGCATGGGGAGCCTGTGTCAGAGGGCACAGCTTTGTAGCAAACTCACTCCAGTCGGATGGCCGTTGCACTTGGGCTGTGCTCCCCTTGCAGGCTGTGTTTTTTTGTTAGCTGAAATGTCGTCCTAAGGCGTTCAGAGCCTGAACGTGCCTGGAGGTGCAGGCAGGCTGTGGGCTCCAGTCCTGTCTGTGTGCTTGCAGTGAGAACTGTTTGCAGCTCTCCCAGGGGTAGCTTGCAGGGGCAGGTTCTGTTCCTTCTTCCCTCCCTGGGACCCGTAGCCTTTTCATTTTTGTTTTATTGGTTTGCTAAAGGACCGCCAGCTGGACATAGGTAAGGGGCAGCGCTCTCTTCAGCCTGCAGAGAGCAGGCAGCAGTATGGAGCCATTCAGTCCTGGCAGCTGCTTCCTGGTTTTCCAGATGATTCCAGACAGCATTTTTTGTGTTCAGCCTATTGTCAAAGCTGTCTCGAAGACTTGGGATGTTAATCCTGTCCTCTGTTCGCTGAGTGGGCTTCATGTATGGTGAATGGGAAGCTGTAGCTACTGAGGGACAGGGTGTGTAGGTGTGGGCACATTCAGTATCTATGCTGTTCCCTGGCTGTGCTGATTGAACCTGCAAATCCCCTGCTGTCTCCAGTGGTCACCAGGGACAGGAAGGTGCGAGTGCAGAGCTGATGGTGGAGGGGCGCAGCCCTTCTCATGTTGGCCAGGGTTTCCAAGGGCTGTAGCTGTACTGAGGAAGGCTTGGAAGGACTTGAGCGTCTTGCCAAGGAACCACAGACAGTGCAAACAGAGCGGTGCAGTCAGCACTTCCACTTGAGGTCAGAATATAGCAAATGGACTGAACTGAAATGACAGCTCCCAAGGTCGTGGGTATTGAATATGTATGGATTCAGCTCTGGATCCTGCAAGCTCAGTCTGTCTCCGCTGTGGCAAGCAGCATGTGCCTGCCACAAAGAGCTCCCACTTTAGATGCTGCATCCACACTATGCTTGCTTCTGCAGCAGATCCGATCTGCTGTGAAGCCCCAGCTCCTGCCTTGCAGTCTGCTTCTTGCCGGAGCTCTCATTCTGCACTGTGAGTCTCTGCCAGCAAATTTAGATTAAGAACTCCCTACACAGAGTGATTTTCCTCTGCCTCTGTACTGTGATTATTTATCAGTTTGTGTTATTGTCCTGTAAGCTGAGAAAGAAAAGGATATTTAAATCCCTGCGTGCACAAAAGAAGTATTTGTTTTTTAAAAATAAGGATTTCACAGATCTTGTTTGGAATCAACGTGGCTGAGGGGCTGTAATGAGGTTCTATAGATTGAATGATAGGTACTTCTTAAACCACAGCAGCTGCCAAAGGCATCTTCACATGGAGCTCTTGCTGGAACAAGAGGCAGCTCAGCCTGGGAGGTGTTCCCACCTGGGTGCTCAGCCCTGCGGTTCTTGGGTGCCTCTTTGCTGACTGGAACAGCAAAGGGTTTGGGATGTGAGCAATCAGGAGGAGTAAGCTGTTGTGTGCTGCACATCACAAAAGCTTGTTTTGTTTTTTAGAGGGCTCATGGAGGACAGAGAGGGAGTACTTTGATACTGGCATATACACAGATGTGTTTCCAGCCAGACATTCAGTGTTAGCGGTGCAGAGAAAAATATGTGCTTGGGTTTTCAGCAGGAAACAACAACCAAAAATCCTTTCCGTTTCTTTCAGCTGGAAAGTGGTGCCAGGAGCTGTTCCTTTAGAGAATCTGAAGTCTGGATTTATATGCATGTGTGAGATACGCTTTTGAATGTATGCCTGGAAAATCTACACAGAGAGAACATACAGCACAGAATGTAGATCTTACTGCTGACCTCACTGTGCAGCAAACACCAAGCGTGTTACAGAGTTCTTTTTCTGTGTGTATTTAAAACAGACAAGTCACTACAAAGAAAAGGACATCTGATTGGGTAAATCAGGACATCTGGTTTTGTAATGCCCATTATAGCATGTGCCATTTTTTCTGGAGCCCCAGCAGAGAAGGGACTTCTCCAGAAAATGCTGAGGTTGCAACACCCAGGTAAAACCTGTCTGTGTGCCTTTATAAAGATACTGACAGCTTGCTCTTGCGGACAGCAAACGCATTAGTGACTTTGAGGTGGCTGCCAGACCTTCCTCACTTCTTTTTATGTGATTTGCCAAGGCCTTGACTAGCTGATGGGTGGATATCAGGACAGGCAGCAGCACTGAGAGCTGCGTGGTGGCACAGAGAGGTCCTGCTTGGGCAGAAGGTTATTTGTGGGACTTCTTCGTGGTGACCACCTCAGATACACTAAAGCCCTGGCTGAGCTGTAAGGAAAAGCATCTCTGGGGATGCCACTGTCCTGTGGGAGTGCCCAGGGAGCCCCAGGCACAGAGCCAGTGGGTATAGTTTTGTTGTTTATTAAAGACAGGCATTTGCACAGCAGTAATGGAAAATCCTATTTCTGTACCAATAAAAACTTTTCTCCCATGGTTGTTTCTATTGGCAAACTTATTCTCTTTGGTGTTTATGGAAAAGTATTTACTGGAAGAGCTGGATGGCTAGCAGGCTTCATCTGCTTTCATTCTGCTTTGATGACACACATGTTCCTGGGGGACCTTCTGTTTCATCCCATACCCATCCACAGCCCGAGGGCTGCCAGGGCCCTGCTGTTCAGGGCAGCAAGTTGGTGTGTTATGTGGGTCTGGCCTCTGTCTCCTGCCCTGGGAGGGGGCAGTGGGCTTCGTGCTGTTCCCATTTCCCACCCAGGTGCTGAGCCAATGCTGCCTGCACCTCAGAGTTACCAGGCCAGCCCTGCTTGGTGTGCGGGTATCAGTCAGCTGATAGCAACAATAAGGGGCTTGAGGGCTGCAGAAAGATTAAAAGAAGCTCCTCTAACAAATGCAATTACACAAACATACTTGAGCCATGTGTCCTATTTAATTCCTTCCCAAGAAAAGAGGCATTCCTCAAGGCACTGCTTTTATCTGAGTGAAAGAGATATCCTCGTGCCCCAGGCATCCATTCCTTCTGCATGCGAGTGCCTCTCCTGTGCCCTAGGAGGTAATAACATGGGGCTCCAGACTCAGCTGAAGAGCAGCTTCTCCTCAAGGACTCTTCTTTCTTGGCACTGGCTTGTTCCTTGTCAGGGTGGTTTTAAATTGCTCATTCAGTGAATTTTGATCTCTCAAGCTGGTCAAGGCAGGAGCTGTGAGTGCTGGTGGTGTGGATGGGGCTAACTGCTCCTAAAGCGGCTCTCACTTTGCTTCTTCATGAGGCCACCTGTGGTCATGCAGAGAATCACTCAGGTTGGAAAAGAGCTCCATCTGTAGAAGCTGAGGTTTAGGAAAACCATTACATAGCCCAAGGTTCCTGGTCAAAGAGTTAAATAATCCTGAAAAGCTTCTCTTCAGCTCTCCCAGCTCCTCAGCCCTTGATGCGTGCGTTCCCTGAGGTATCTCCTCAGGTAACTTGTGTTCAGACAGCACCTGTGCTCTTGCTCATAAGCACCAAATGTTTAATTCAGCACGTGCTTGTCAGACCGCGTTCACATTGCAGGTAGCATTTGCTGTGTGTGAGCTGCTGCTGCCTGCGAGGCTCTGGGCAGCATGATGGGACAGCAGAGCAGCCTGCTGGCTCCCAACCACGTGGCAGCTCTGCAGGACTCCCTGGTTTTGCAGCAAGGCCCTGGGAGATGTGGGGCACAGGGGATGTGCCCAGATAGCACGAGAGCAGACGTGCTCAGCGTCTTGCACAGAGCTTCTACGCTTGGTTCAGTTTGGCACGTGCCCATGAGCAAGAGAACAGCTGAGCTCTTGGAAATAGGCTCTCACGGCACGTAGATGCTGGAGATAGCAGGTGATAAAGCAGGTGAGGCTGCCAGCAAGATGTTGTGTGGGCAGAGGAGCCCGAGGCAGCTGCAGCCTTTCAGGACAGGGCCTCTCTTTATCCGTGCTTGTTGCCTGATGCTGTGCCTCTTCCACCTGGAGGCACCACTCAGGCCTTGGTAATGGGCAGTACTGACCATCTGTGGTCATTAATTAAGGTGTTGGGAGTAGTTCGTAGTTTAGCCTTATTTCTGCCAACCAACCCAGGCTGAATTTTGTTTTCTTGCCTTTCAGTCCTTTCAAGGAAGCCAAGGACGAGCATACCTCTTCAATTCAGTGTGAGTAGAACTTCATGCATGTCACCTTTGCATGTTTTTATGATGCATTTAAGAAAACTCTCCTAACTAGTACAGAAAAGTTTTCTTGTAAGAAAACCTCTGCCCAAGACTTATGAGCCTGCTGAAAAACAGTTGGAGGAAGGCAGGAAATAGCACTGATTCATGTTTGATTTTACGTTCAAGTTTCAGATAAGCAGCTAGGAAAAGGTGTTCTTTTTCATCATCAGTTTGAGAAATCAGAGCTGAGAGGTGACTCATCTCTTCCCAGAGAGGGAAGTCGGACAGAGAGTCAGGGCTTTGTAAATGCAGAGAATACGGAATAACCAAGTGCAAACTTCTTTTTAGAGCTGGCATAGAAGTTAACTGTAAGTTACCCAATAACTGAAAGTAGTTTTGGTCAGACTACTGCTGGGATGTCTGTCAGAACTGCTTATTTCAGTTGCATTTCCCAAATTCCCACTTGGGAAAGTAGAAGTACCATTCTGGCAATTTGGAAACAGCAGTCTTTTTCAAGTGCATCATGAGTGCAACGTACTAGAATGTTATGAATCTTCTGCTCAAAACTTGTTAGAATGTTGAGTTAAATAAAGATTCTATTTTACCTTTTCATTCTGTTCTGGAACTGCATGAGACTTCTTTCAGGAACAGCCATGGTACTCAGTATTCTGAATTTCCTGCTTGTGCTTTCAAGCACTGCAGTTCTCAGCTTCGCAGCAGTGTCTTGCTGTGGGAAGATGCACTAACAGGGAGCTTCTCTCCATTTTCTCTAGAGTTAATGTGGGTTGTGGCCCTGCAGAGGAGCGGGTGTTATTAACAGGATTACATGCGGTTGCAGACATTTACTGTGAAAACTGCAAAACCACACTGGGCTGGAAGTATGTGAGTATCAGCATCATTTGTTTTTCCTGTGGATGTCTTTGCTGCAGCTCTTGCTGAAGGTTTGTGTGGTAGAACGTGGTCTGGTGGGAAGAACATCGACTCAGGAACCAGAAATGTGGATTTTGGTCTGTAGCCACGTTGTTTTTCCTTTCTGCGTTTCCATTTTCCCTCCTGTCCTTTGTTTATTCTCTCCTTTCAGATCATGAGCTCTTTGTGGCCGATGTTTCATCTTTCTAAGGATTTCTGGTGTGGGTTTGGTTTTGGTTGGGACCCCCAACCAAACCTCAGTGGCACTTGATGTAAAATTCAGTCAGGCTTTGTGGTTCACGTTGTCTGTTTTTCCAGACCATCTCAGAATAACAGAGGGATCCACATATTGCTAATCCTGTGTCCCTCCCACTAGAAATGCTATTGAACATGAGTTGATCTGTTTGCTGTCTCTCGCGCTCCATAAATTCAATTACCTTCAAATAAAGGCTTATGCTACGTTCTAATTTCTGCTCCAGGAGGCACGCGGTATTCTTGTTTGTCAGAACATTTTGACCACTCTGAACAAAGCATCTATTGCATCTGCGGCCTCTGGACAGAAATATTCTTTAAAGTCAGTCAAAAGGCTATAAAAAGCAAAGCATCGAAAATTGATGGGGTGGGAATCTGTGCAGAAACACAGCGTGGATCTCACAAATGGAGAAGGACGCTAAGTGCAGAAATTGAGTTTATTGTAAAACACAATCCAGAATTCCATAAACGCAGCAGTAAGCTCAGGTCTCTCCAGCAACAGAATTACGTCCTCTCAGATGCATGATACAGGTGTGCGTGCAAACAGTGAGCCTGAGCTGGAGCTGAACTGCCTTTGAGAATGCAGCCAGAATGCATAAGTGGAGTCTGTCCTGCTTAGAGATCCTATGCTTCATTCGTCCTACCTCTGTGTAGAATGGGTGCTTCCCCTCAGCTCCATTTCCAAGTGAAGCTGACCACAGCCCAGCTCACTCCCAGTGGCAATGCCTTTGCAGCAAATTTCCCCAGAGTAGCTCTGGATTCCTAATGTTAATAAACCCTCAGAATGCTCCAGAGAGGGTCAGATTTCATCAGTGATCATTTCTAAGGCATAGTTCAAGGAGCAGTTGCCAGTAGCCTGCCTAAAGCTGCATGCTCACAAGGGGCTGGTTGTGCCTTTTCGGCCTATGAAGACGACTAGAGTCAGGTTTAAGATCATTCCAAATGTAATTTTTGCAGAACGCCCTCAGGAGCTCCTGCAGTTTGACTGTCCTACCCAGCAGACACATCTCCTTGCCAGGCTGGGACCCAGACCAGCATTCCAGGTTCTGTCAGTGTGACCATACCTTCAGATATACTGATTGCATTCTTTCTTCTCCTTTTAGGAACACGCTTTTGAAAGCAGCCAGAAGTATAAAGAAGGCAAATACATCATTGAACTAGCTCACATGATCAAGGATAATGGCTGGGATTGAACGGAGGGAGCCCAGCCCTACCAGTGTGTAAGAGAATGCCATCCAACCGAACATTGTATCCAAGAGTGAGAGAGTGACTGAACGCTTGGTTCCATGCATTTAGAGGCTCTGCAATCTGGGAGCATCTTCACACCCTTCTCCATCTTTATTGGTGACTGGCCTCTAAATTTCTGTCTCTCTGTCTCTTTGCTTTGTATCTGTTTGTGAGTTGACCCTGGCTGCTTCTCTCTCTGTTCTGGCGTTGGCTAAGAGAATGCACCGAATGCCCGACAGCCATTCCATGTTGACGAATGCTTACGTACGAACTGAAGTTGGCTCTGTGGTGGCATTTTATCAGCAGGTCTCGGTGCAGGAGGAAGACCTGAGTTTTGGGCAGGAGAACGTGATAGGGGGTGGGGAGTGGGCCCAGAGGGAGGTCATTGGGAGTAAAACTGCACTTCTCCTTTAAGTCCTGGTTAACCAAGGCTTGAAACTGTCTGCTTGTCTAAATGGACAGAAAAATACCTCACGGCTGCATTCTCTCCGAAGCATAAAACTGCTGCTCCACTGGTGGAGCTTCAGTCTAAGCTGGCTGAGCACAAGACGTAACCAGTTCTTCCTGCAAGTCGCAGATCTGTGTTTTGTTTGCTGTTTATGAACTTGTTGTCTAGGGGAGGTAGGGGAAACCTGAAGGCTGGAGAGATTCCCTGCCTCTCCTTTTTCTCTCTGTTTCAGGGGAGGTAGGCCAAACGTCCCAACAGAGCACAGCTGTGAGAGCATCCTCACAGCTGGAGAAACCAAATCCTGACACTTGAGCCCTTCAGAGAGAAGGAGAAAACCACTTAAGGCACAAGGAGGCTGGAGCTGGAGCTTAGAAGATACAGCAGGAAAAAAAAACGAAGGCAGGTGCTAAGTAAGAAAGAGGAAATTATGTCGGAGAGGATGGGGACAAACTCAGTAACGTAGGGTACCCTTTGACTTCCTGTACTCCTCTAGGTGTCCTTGGGGTTTTTTTTAACCAAGCCTTCACGAGTACAAGTAGGAAAGTGCTGTTAGAATATCTTTCAGTCCCACGCCCCAGCCATCAGCTCTGCTTTTGGAGCCTTTCAGAGAAATGTTGTGAGAGGGGAGATAAGGGGGAGCAGAGGAAGCTGGCAGTTTAGCAGTATTGCACAGGTGGATATTTCAGGCCATGAGGTATCCCCCAAACCTTCCCCCCCTTTTTCCACTCCCTGAAGCCTGTTGGAGGCACAGGGGAGACAAGAAGGAAAAAGGAAACTAAAGTATCTTCCCTCTACCCCGAAATTGTGCTCTGGAGTCTAAGTGGGAGAGGTGGATGTGGTTATTGTAACTGCAAAGGATAAGTCCTTTGCTGTGAAGTTTTTCAGACCGATGAGTGTGGACCTTCCCGAGGTGATGGGTGGGAAGGAGCACCGTGTGCGAGCAGGGAGCTGCGTTAGGCGTAGAAGACAATGTGAAGTTTGCTCTGCAGCAGTCCAGCCACTGTCTGGTGCACGGCTCAAAGACTGTTGAACCGAATTAGTGTTATCTCTCTGAGTGAATTTTCTTGTTGTTTGTGGAATTCTTTCAAGTAGGTTAATCCACTGGGGGGAAATCTTTCTTAATCCAGAAAGAAAGAGTATTGTGCAGGGGTTTGTAGCTCCTTATGAAACCGAAGCTTTGGAGCTGTAATCTCTTGTTGCTTGTCCCCACCCCGAGATCCCGTGAGCTGGGGACCAGAGTGGAGGGGCTGGCAACGAAATCATTTGCTGTTCATGAAGGAGATGTGAGCAGAGATGCTGCTCATGGGTTGGGGTGGGCTTTACGTGTTGGACCGAAGCCCCGGCCTGCTGGCCTGTCGAAGCAAAAGCTGCTTTTCTCTTGAACCACTATTTTGTGACAGCGCGTTGTTACACCTGGCAGGGGAAGGTGAGCTGTAGGCTGCTGGAATGGGTGGAATTGGCTCATTTTGTGGCTAGCCTGTTCGGAGATAGCTTCTGCCTTTACCCTTTCTGTTGTGGTTGTGTAGCGGTTGCTTCAGCTTTCATTTCTGATTGTCTCTGCTTCCATCATCCACATTGCCTTAAGCGGTAAAAACCCAGAAAAAATCACGAGCTCTGCAGTACCCCCCAGCTTGTTGGCACTGGCACTGGCCTGGTCCTCTTGTCCTGTCCTTTGGTTGTTGATCTGTGACAATTGATTGGGTTTTGCCTAGTGGGAAGTAGTATGCATTCTTCAAAGAGCTCCTGGTCTCCCACATACACAGCCCTTGAAGGGATCTGTTTGTACCTGGGAGGAGAAGTAAGGGATAACCCAAAATTGTTAATATGAGGTTGAGAAAATTACCGTGCGTGAGTTCATGGTTTTAAGTTGGTATCACCTATAGATAAGATACCAGATACAAATGCTTTTATCCTTATATTTGGGACAGGAAAGGATGATGTTCGTCAATCAGGCTGTTTTTAACCGTTCCCTGGGGTTAGGCTTTTAATGGCAACCAGTCCGAGCCTGAAAATGGCAAGATCTTAATCTGGTTTTAATTGGCTTTGTCTCGTCAGCATCCACAGATTTACGTTGCCCAGAATGTGGCCTCATGTCCCGATAGGAAAACATGAGTGTGTGCCCATGGGAGCCCACACTGTGCACAGTCACCACAGGCTGCCCTGTGGCGTGGAAAGCAGCGTGCTCAGCTTAACCAAAGACTGCACCCTGTGCTGGGGCCATGGGTGGCCCACAGAAATGCCCCCTGGGGAAGCATGGGCTGTAATGTGGGGCAGCCTCAGCCCTGTGAGCTGTGCTTCCATCACCTCACGCTGCCCCAAAGCTCAGCCTTCGCCGAGTTCCAAATTGGTTGTGCTCGGGTGGATTATCTGCTGTGAGATCCCTCTCCCTGTAATAAATACCCAGATGGTAATATATACAAAGCAGGAAGAAAAAAAAATAATAATAATCATGTTATCTTGTGAAGTATACTTTTGTAAATAATATTTAATTTAAAAATAATAATAATAATATATTTGGTGCCGTTTTCTCAGAGCTCCTCCCTGCGAGCACTTTTCTCATTGTTTATAAATGATCCCCTTCCCTTCTGCATTGGTTGGGAAATACTTTGAGAGGGAAACAAACACATGCATGGATGTTGTTCTGCTGGGCAGCCCATGCTGGGGATGAGGGGTTTGGGGGATTTGAGGGCTGGGGGGGATGTGGGGGCTGCCCATGCAGTGCTGGGCAGGGATGCATATGGCTCCGGGTGCAGGAGCACAGATCAGCTGTGAGCTCAGCATCACCACTTGGAGGTTCGTAAGGAGCTGTTTTTAAACTGAAGGAAGTCTTTGGACACAGATCCCGAGTTTCTTTTTGTTTTGTTTTGTTTTTCTTCGTTTTTAAACCAGGCTGCTACATAATGAACTAGAGTGCAAGTTTACCTCTCAGGCAGCAGAGTTCGTTTCTTTGTTTTCCCTTCTGTCCCTGTGCCCCCCTCCCCGCTCCCCTCTTTCTGTTTTTATCTCGTTGGGTCTCTGTTTGATCCCAAAGTGGACCAACAGCCTGCACAGCTGGGCTGCATTGCTGAGCAAGGAGCTGTTTCCAGCACTGAACTGCTGCTGCACGCTCCCTGATCCTCTGATGCTGGCACACATCATTTAAAGACAGACAGGGAAAAAAAAAAAAACAGAAAACCTACAGGTAGAACTTGTTGTTCTCGTGGTGAGGATTTTCTCTGTGTGCATTTTCCTGCCTGGTGTGTGAGTGTGCACTGTGCTGGGCGGGAGGTGTGCTCTGCTCTGCTCTGCTCTGCTCGGTGGGAAGGAGCTCCCAGCAGGGCCAGGCCTTGGGGGCCGAGCACTCAGAAACAATGATGTTACACATAGAGGCTGAAGAATCCTGTTTAAAAGAGGGGGAAAAAAAGAAATCATAGTGAATTCGAAAAAGAAATGGACGTATTTAATGCAAGCAGAATGGCACTGTGTGTGGTACAATCACAAAGAAGCTGTTCTTGTAGCTATGAACTGTATTTATCCTTTGTTTTGTTCTTGTAAGGAAATGGGAATGCTTTCCCCGCTGACAAAACTAAAGGACAGTGTTTCCAATACCAGCCTGTCTATTGATGCTCTCGTGTTTACAAATTGTGTATACTTTTATTTCTTTGATCTTATTTTATTTTTTGTCGTATTCTTTCAGGTCATTTGCTTCAGTAATAAATGCGATTGTTTGTTTTCAAGTAATTGGTTTCCACCTTTTCATGTATTTGTACATTGTATATAGTTCTTCAGTATTAGAGGGAGCCGTATTGTTTGTCATATTTACAATATGTGTCGGTGCTCATTTGAGAAAATAAAATTTTCAAGTACTAAAGCTGTTGTTCTGGGTTGCTGCGTCCATCTCCTCCTGTACTGTGTGCAAATTCTTAAAGGCTGATGGCAGCGGAAGTTGGCTGTGGAGCACGTGGTGCATTTAACTCAGAAATAGTCCATCCGCACTCCTTGCTGTGCCATCAGTGCTGGCACCAAAACCCCTTCAGCACATGAAGGCCGTGCTCACAGAGCAGTATCCCACCACCTGGGGAGCAGCTTGTGCTTCAGCAGGGGGAGTGCAGGCTGAGGGTGTGCTGTGGAGCAGTCCCTATGGGTGGCAGGGCGGCTGCTCCATCCTGCACATGCTGTAACACCTTTCTGAGTTGTCTCTTGCAGGTGCCGGTGCTCCCAGTGTCCATCTGATCCCTGGGACCTGATCCACCGCTCTGAAACCCCAGCGAAGCTCCGGTCAGGTTGGGAGCAGCACTTTATTTCGGGTGTTTCCAATGTGCTGCTGCACGCTCTGTCCCCGTGCCCTGACCCTGTGGCTGCAGCTCTCTGGGATTCTGGAGCTGGCCAGGTAAGCTGGGGGACCTGGTGGGGCCAATGCCCCAAGCACAGCACCACCTACAAGCAGATGTGGTCATGAGGATGACTGTGTTTCCAAGATATGAGGCCATACCTCTGGGCTCTTTGTGACAGCCTGGAAGTGGCCACAGGCATGGTTTTTGCACCCCGGTCAAGACAAGCATTTCCTTCATTAACAGAGAGCTCACCACAGCCCATTGCCCAGCAGGTGCACGCATGGCAGGACAGACCAAGGCTGAAATCCTGGGGCTGCTGTGACCTTTCTGTGCAGCCGGAGGACGGCTATAACGGGAAACGCGGCTCAGCGCGGGCAGCCCCCGTCACAGCCACAATGATTTCTGGAGAAGACAATCATGGAGCTATAAATACTGCAGTGCTGTGGCCTTTCATCCCGGGGCAAGAGCAATCGGACACCCGGGGCAGCTGGAGCCGGGCTGCTGGGTGACCAGGACGTCCCTGTCCCCATTCCTGCAGGGACGCGGGTGATGCTGTGTGTTGCTTCCCTGCCGTCCCTTCTCTCTGTGTCCTTGATGCTCTGTGTCCCTTCATGACATCCAGGCTGCGTGTCCTTTCTCCCCAGCCCTACATGGGAAAAATGTCACCTTTCAGCCACCACAGGAGGATTCCCTTTGCCTCCCTGGATTTTTCCAGGCATAGGTTTGGAGCAGTGCTCTGCTGGTGGCACCAGGAGGCTTGGCTGCACTCAGTGCACATCAGAAATGGCTTCAAGCTTTGCTCCCTCTGAAACATCGCATGAAATCCCCATTCTGCACAGAACCCCACGGGGAGACCTCCCAGCCCCACTGCTCCTGGCTCTGCCCTGGGCAGGAACTGCTCCTCACTTTGTTCTCCATGCATGGAAACTTTGGTGTGGGTGCAGTGAAAGGTTGGAAAAAAAAAAAAAAAAGTTCTTCCCCAGGGGCTCATCCTCACCTCATGGAAACATAAAGAATTTCTGTGCAACGTTTTGGACGCTTTACAGAAATAACAGAGAAGTATAGGAGCATGCTTTTATTTAGCTCTGCTTCCTTGTCAGGCTCTGGTGGTGTTTTTTTTCCACTTGGATGAGGGTTTTCTCAGAGTGGTGTTGTTTTTGCAGAGGTTCCAGGGCAGGGGCTGAGTCTGGGTGCACCAAGGGCTGCAGTGTGGGGTCCTGGTTGTGCCCATGTCCTGCAGGGTTGGACATGGGGTGTTCCATGCATGCATTCCCTGCGGCTGTAATACAAACCTTGCGAGCTCATCATAAATCACTGCAAGTCTTTCTCTACCAGGCAGGGTGTGAAGGTGAAGCCAACCTCATGCACCAATGCCCAGTGGGGATGAGCACCCACACCCGCAGTGCTGCTTCTGCAGGCACTGGGGTCATTAGCAGGGCAGTGACAGCATCATTCATTCAGTGCCACCTCTTTAGTCACAGCCCCCTCACACCCAGCATTCCCACGTGTGACCACTCGCACATCCCATCCCATCCCATCCCATCCCATGCTGCTTGGTGTCCTAAAGCCAGAAGCTGCCAGCACACACGGGCACAGCTTAACCTCCTCCTAGCTGCAGCATCCCCAGCCCTATTGTGCCCAGCGTGTGCTGAGCTGCTGTTCTCCCTGTGCCCATCCCTGCCCTGCTGCTGCCAAGCACCCCATGGCCCTGCATTGCAATACGAAAAATCCAGGGACCAGGCAAGGTTCAAACCTGGGGAAACAAACATTGCTGGCGAGGCTGATGGAGGGGAGCGTTTGGTTTGGATTAGTAAGAAAAGCTATTTTGAATTCAAGTCTGGAAGCGTTGGAGCTAATCCCAGGTGAAAGCTGATTAAGGGCTGGATGGTGGGAGCACATCCCGCTGCTGTCTGTGGCTGTGCTGGAGGAGCTGGGGCTGTGGGGTCAATGAATGGGCAGCACACAGCCAGCACAGCCCTGTGGTTCTAGTGGGGTCCCGGCGCTGGCACTGAGCACAGTGAGCACGTCTGTCCTGTGTGCATCCAAATAAAATATTCAGGCTTTGGCCACTGCTTTCAGGGTCCTGTAAATGAGTTCTGTGGGGCTTGTGCCCTGCACTGGCAGCACTGCCAAGCAATGTTATCTGCAGGCCTGCCTGCTTTCAACCTTTTAAATCTTTTTCTCCATCTCACCCTGGCGAAGCATCCACAGAAGCGCGGTGTAGCAGCAGCCCTTTGGCCGAGCCCTGCGCTTCCCCAGGCAGCACAGTTTGTGCATCGCAGCTGGAAAGCCACAGCACTTCCTATAGGCATCAGTGCTGCATTCTTTCCTGCACGGCTCTGCACTGCCAGCACTGCTTCTCCAGCTGCATAAACACCAGGCAGCGCTTTGGCACACGGCGTTTGGGGTAAACATGACCTCGTTTCCCTTCCAGAAAAATATTTACTTGCCTCTCTGGGCACTCTCAAATTGAAAACACATTCAGAGCAGGCTTGGATGGAATGGCTTAGAATGGGTTTTTCAGCTTTTCTCCCCCAAACATCACTGCAGGGGCAAACAGGTCTTCCTACAGCCCCGGTCTGGGGGTTCTCAGCACAAAGCACTGCTGAGCTCAGGCTGCGCAAACAGCCCATGTGCCATCAAAGCCCCGGGCTAGCTCTGCATGCAAATCCTACATGCATATATTTGCATACATCTGAATGCAGTTGGTGAAGTGGCAGTGCTGCCTCTATTCAGTGGTGCCCAACCACCTCCTATAGCCACACAAAGGGCACTGCACTGCCGTTCCCCTCATATCTACCCTGCAGAGAATCAGCCTTCCCTCTCTGCTGGAAAGCAGCATTCTGCAGTTGCTGTGCAGCGCTTTGGGAAACACCCAGGGCAAATTCAGCCTCACTCACATTCAGCTGTGCTCCGTACTGCAAAGCCTATGCTCAGGATATACACATTCTTGGACTCTTTGGAAGCCTACAGCCTGAGCAGCTCTCTCTGATCCCTCATTTTCTTTTCCAGGGCATTGGAGCAGTGCTGCTCAGGCTGTGCCCAAAGCACAGTGCTGGGGACGTGCGGGCTGAGCCGTGCCCATGCACGTCACTATTTCTGTCCGGATTAGAGGGAAATTAAAATTAATCCTCAGAGTTCGGGGAGATCTCTGGAGCTTAGCATTTTTTTTGGTCCCGATCACTCATTATTTTTAGCAGCCACTTTTTATTTTTAGCAGCTCATAAGCGCTGCCAGTCCTCGTGCTCCCCAGCCCTGAGCAATCAGCTCCTTCCCTTCCACTGCACAATAGCACAGTGCTCTTCCTGGGTTCCTTCTGCAGTGTTGCATCCTTCCTTCCCTTACCTGGAATGGAAAACCCTTTCTGTGATCCCCTGTCCGTGTGCTGCTGCATCCCTGCAAAGCCAGGGTCTATTTGGAGGTGGCTGCAGCTGCTGTGCTGCCAAGCACAGGCCCCGCTCCGGGCAGCAGTGGGATTGATTTCTTGATTACAGTCTAACACGTGGTGATATAATTAAGGAAATCTTCCTGCTTTGGAAAGTCATTAGGAGGCAGTTAATTGGGATGGGGCTGGAGGAGATGCGTGACATCTCCAAAGAACTGCAGCCCTGTGAGTCCCAACCAGGCCAGACATTTGTTGGGTTTGGTTTCACATTTTGCATCTTTCCTCCCTTTTTTGTTTTGCCCATTATTACATACTCCAAGGTAGTCTGCGTGTCCCTACACAGCATGTCCTCCTGCAGCCTCAGTGCTGCTCATGTTTTTAGGCTCCTGCTCACTCCCAGTGCTTTTCTCTGGATGCTTTCCAGCCAATGCGTGGTGCTCCATCCTGTGGTTCACCCCTGGGTGCTGGCTGTAGGATGCTCCTGGTGCTGATCATGGGATGCTCCTGGTGCTGGCTATGGGATGCTCCTGGTGCTGGTTATGGGACGCTCCTTGTGCTGGCTACGGGGTGCTCCTTCCTGCCTTGGCAAAGGTAGAATTCAACTCACAGCCCAACAGCTCCCCATGGTTTGTTCTCTTTGGTTTTATTCGCAAAATGTTAATTGCACAGTAAATGGCAGCTCTGCCAAGTAGATGGGATGAGAGGATCGACTCACGGTTGGATGAGGGAAACATATTTTGAGGCGGAAAGAATTAATTAGGGAAAAATCCGTATCTCTGTGTGAGTTATTAACACAGGGAGCAGACGTGTCTGATGGGCTTTTCGTGAGAGAACTGTTACAGAGAGATGAAATTTCACTCTCCCAGATGCGAGGTGAACCAGGCTGTATTTTCACTGTGCTTTTCCAGGAGCAGTGGGGGTCGGAATGGGAAGTGATGGCAGCTGGGGCCATCACCCTACATCATCTACAGACCCATTCCAGAACTCCCTTAGCTCCTACGTACGTATGTGTGAAGCAGAGTGCACAGCATCAGCCATCATTGGGTACATCTGTTTCAGACACAGCCGCCGTTCTGCTGCCGAAGCCATTAAACCTCTGGCGTAGCTATAAAGGCACAGTGAGTCATTTTTTCAGCATCTCAGGAAATCCTC